GCAGCTGGTATGACAGCTTGATGTACTCGAGGTTGATTGAAAACAAATTCACCACTATTGGGCACTTTCAAAGGGAAGGCGCCGCTGCATGTCATCGACTTTTCTGTGAGATGATCCATTTGAGGTAAACTAGCAAGGCCTGTGCCTTCCTTAAAGAAAAAAGAGAAACAGAGTGCATGAGAGGTATTGGCAAGTCTCAAATTGTTTTCAACTTTTATTAAATCTCTGATTTTTCACCAAAGTAACCTATGACAAATATGAGAAAAGCAGAAATTAGAGATCAAAAAAGAGAAATGTTATTTGGCTGACACTAATAGATGTAGGATTACAAGCAGCTGAACAAGAAACCCGTATAAGAGTTATCCTTTATTTCAACGTTGCAATTATCTACATTACGAATTACAGATAAAATTTACGATGAAAGTCGCAAGATGTATGAAAAGATTAGACATGTGATAGAAACTGTTGCACTTTTCTCATCGGGGGGACTCTGAACTTCAAGAGATCGAAAAGATTTTTAGGTAGATTGGCAAAGCTACTCTCACAAAGCTTAGAATTTACTTCGGGTTCTGATTGCATTTCAAATGTTGATATTTGTTCTTTTCTTTTGGGAAAACTGAATTACCACCATTCATTCTTTTTTGATTATTTTTTTCCCATAAAACTATGCTCAGGAAAGTGTAAAAAATTACAAGGCATGAGAATTTTTTGATAATTGCTACGCAGCTGTTATTGTTATTTCGATGTCTTGCTATCGAAAAGATATGCGTCAGGATTTTACAATAAATTTCTAGAGTAGCTTTTAAGATGCTCTTACTTTAATAAGAAGAGGAGCGATGCGGGCTTCGACTTTGTCATCAGATACTCCTACATAGAATTCAGGATCCAATTCATCACGAACAAATTGACTATAGGAGCGATGATATGGATCGACTCGCTGAATGAGTTCGCCAGCCAGAAATCCACTTGTGTAGGCATGATACCCATGTGTTGATCCAGGTTTCCAATAAGGCCTCTGCTCGGCCAACAAAGAAGTTATTCGACCCCAATCGAATACGTCATTGACTGTGAGTTGTTGATCAACACCTGGAAGACCAGCTCGATGAGATAATAAATCGCCCACCAATATGCTCTACGATAAAATATATGTAAATAGAAAATTCATATGAAAATATGAATTATAAAATAGATCCTTTTTAGTGCATATCGGCATGTAAGGAGTTGTTTTCTACCGTCTGTAATATCATTTCGTTCCTGTTTTTCGATAATCGATAAATAGACATGAATGCAATGGCTCATCTTTTCCATTTTACTGCTTTTTATTTCTCTTCTTTTATTTCTACTTCGCGGATTGGAATCGTTCCGGTCACGTCGTCTGCGGCTTTCTCAGTGTGATTTTCTTCTCTTTGATCGAAGAAGCATGGTTAGAGCTGCGCAAGATCTAACATAAATGAATCATTATTTACATACCTCCTTTCCATTGACACCAAACTCTGGCCAGTACTTGGCTACAGGTGCTTGATAATCGAGCCAACCTTTCTCCACACACAATGCCGCGGCTGCCGCTGCAACGCCTTTTGAAGTTGAAAATATAAGTTGTAAGGTATCTGGTGTGTATGGTTCTTTCTTTGTCTTTGCATCTTTCCAACCACCGATCAAGTTCACGACGCATTCTCCAAGATGATAAACACATAGGCTTGCCCCGATATCGTGTCCGTCAGTTAAATTTTGTTCGAATTTTGTACGCACACTTTCCCATCCCGGTGCTACATGGCCAAACACGTTGTTGTCGCTTGATGACAAAGACATTATTGACGAGATCTGTGCGCGTTACAACATGTCTTCGTTTTGTTTTGCCTACAAATTGAGAGCAAACACATCAAGGTTTTTTTCTTTTCTCTCGCTGATAAGACAAGAGATGCGAACATAAGTATTAGAGGATTCCGTGTACCTTCTCGATGTTCGTTTATTTCGAGATATCGACGCGAGAACAACAACAGAACAGAATCACGTAAGCGACAAGAGAGAGAGCATATATAGAAGGGATAAGCGTCAAAGAATGAATAAACAGATGCCGATGAGTCAGGAATAAACATATGACTGTAACATTCCTCCTCACCAACAAAAATGTGGGTCCACACACATTCATAGAGACAACAATACACTAATATAAGAATAAGAAATGAAAAATTGAGAACGCAATTGTAATAAGATAACAGATAGAGAGCCATAGAACAAATAGAAGAAACGATGGTATAATACCATTGCAGAAAAAAAAAACATACCAAAGAGATATGAAGAATGAATGCGGTGTGTACGCCGACTCAGCTTGGTCAGCTCTTTTGTGATCGACTGAATCATATCGAAAACACGATTCGCTCGACGATTACGATTGAAGAGACGAAGCAAAAACGATTTAGCGAAGAATTTTTGCGTTATAAATTAAGGTTGCTGATTAGACCTTTAAAATGTTCGATTATGAATGACGTAGAATTGATATGATGAGATGAGAATGATATTGAAAATGTTTTTCATGAATAGTTTTGTGCGTATTTTTCTTGGATATAGTCTTAAAAATGATTGCAGAGCGAATACCGAATGCCACGTGTCCGAATAATGTTATGAATAGTTCCATTGAATTATGTAATGCCGTATACTAACAGTGATTCTAGCTCGCGAAGAATTACTACTGTTATTACGTATGGTGATGAATAAAGTTTGTATTCTCTTGAATTCTTCACCAAAAAACTCTTAACATGTATAATTAATCCGTAAATAAGTGCTGATATATTGAGAACATTGTTATGTGCTGGATAGTGAAGTATTTTGAATCCAAAAAGAAGTGAAAACAAAACGAATGACAATATAGTAGGGTCGTAATTAAATAGTCTTGATGATTGGTTCGACGAGATGTGATATAACTTGGCCGACGAAAATGAACCGTGTAACCCATGACTTGTTATCGGTCGTAGTTTACATTTCGATGTTGATAAAGCATGACAAATAATACCAGTATCGAGTTTTTGTCGAAGTTTGTGCTCTTGAATATTCGAATTCAATGAAGCGGGTGAATGAACTGTGGTTTCACTTATAAACGTGGGATCGATTTGTGGTTTAGAAACGAGCACTTCTTGCAAGATATATGGTTGTTCCGTGGTTACTAGATCGTTTTGTTTCATTGCTAATGCTTCTGTGTCAGTTAAAGAACAAAAGGAAGCTTTTCTTGCGAATAATTTTCTTTGTGGTTTAATATCATGAAAATGCCACGACTCAGTACCATTGGGCCAAAATACATCGGGTTCAGTTTCAATGCTTCTTTCTTGGATTAATAAATTTTCTTCATGAGCTTGCTTGATGAATAATTCGCGTTGAGGTTTTATTTCGTGTATGTGCCACGATTGAGTTCCATCAGGCCATGAGTCTTCAAACGAATCTAACTCAAAGAGCGGAGAGGGAGACGACGAGCAAAACGAAGTTTGATTAGTTGAAGATGATTTACTAGCGTGATATGACCTGTAGTGTGCGACGTGCTGTGGATGCCATGCGATAGTGCGCCGAAATTTTTTCATCAGC